GAAGGTGGGTGGGATAGTAATAAGTAGCAAGTAATTGTCGTATATGTGTGACATGTACATGTATATAGACACAAGTGAAGGTAGGTGGGATAGTAATAAGTAGTAAATAAATGTCGTATATGTGGGACATGTACATGTATATAGACACAAGTGAAGGTAGGTGGGATAGTAGTAAGTAGCAAGTAATTGTCGTATATGTGTGACATGTACATGTATATAGACACAAGTGAAGGTAGGTGGGATAGTAATAAGTAGTAAATAAATGTCGTATATGTGGGACATGTACATGTATATAGACACAAGTGAAGGTAGGTGGGATAGTAATAAGTAGCAAGTAATTGTCGTATATGTGTGACATGTACATGTATATAGACACAAGTGAAGGTAGGTGGGATAGTAATAAGTAGTAAATAAATGTCGTATATGTGGGACATGTACATGTATATAGACACAAGTGAAGGTAGGTAGGATAGTAATACGTATTAAGTTATTCTCCTATAGCTACTACAGTAGACCATGCCCATCGGCGCTTTGAGAGTGACCTCCGCACGTTCCAAACATCCAGGCGTAAACACAAACACCACTGACAACTCTACTCATCGTCTATGTATGGTGATACGTTGAATGCTCACGTACAGTGACATGCAGTGAAGTGATAAGTCATACGTTTATGACCAGTCTATAGTAAAGCAATAGACTACCATCCAGGTGCACACACACACACACCACTGACAACTCTACCCATTCGTCTATGTATACACCCAAACCTCACCTTTCCTCTTAGCAGACTCATCGACGGCTTTTAATAATCGATTGCAGATGCCACACTCGTTGAACAGGCTTCGGTACAGCGCTACGGTCGCCTCCTGGGCCACCGCGTCATCGACCTCTTTGCCCTCAGCACAGGTGTCGGTTGCACCTACCTATGCAAAAATGGACCATGGGTGCAAAATGAACAGGACAGATCTGTTTACGCCTGGGGGTGAGGTATTGTACAATATACGTGGTTGGCTTTATACGGAAGATCGATAGAGCTCGGAATCATACGTATATAGTAAGGTTGTTAGAATGAGCTTGAAATGATACGTATATGATTACGTTAATATGTGGTATGAGCGCATAAGGTGAGCTACGATTGGCTGCCAAATACTCCCAGGATTGAAAACGTAAAACTACGGCATTGTCATTTTCTATATATAAAAAATAGGTGCCCAACGTCACGGAAGATAAAAGAAGACAATCACGCCTGCCTGATTGCTCGACTCGCCAGGCATGTAAAACAAAGAAACTAACCCTAAACTCTAAACCCTAAAACACACACAGACACCCACACCTACGTACCTTGACATCCGCAGGGGTTAGTTCAGGCACTGGCCTGTACTCGCTTTCATATACTTCTCTGTGGTCAACTGAAGCCACGGGCTTTGTGCGCGGCTCCTTCAACCGAAGTATTTCGTAGACTATCTTGGTCACCGTAACATGCAGGAATGTGTTGTTGCTATACCTGAAGAACAGATCCTGTAGGGTGATGTGAGAGAGATACCGTTAGACGCTAAAGAATCTAGGTGGTAAGGTATAAGGATTAGGTAGTGTAGAGGGTTCTATATATTTTAATAATATAATAATAATATAATAATATATTTATAAATATATATAATATGAATTCACACACACACACACACACACGCATATATATATATATATATATATACATATATATGCACACACACACACATATATATATATATATATATATATATACATATATATATATATATATATATATATATATATATATATATATATATATATATACATACATACATATATATATATATACATATTCTCTTATATTTGAAAATATGGAATGGGACGGCAGCTTCGCCTACAACTTGCAGACTCAATGAGGATACGAACTAGAATACGCTGCAAACTCTCTGAGGTATCATAAAGTATAACGCTATTGTACTCTAAACAAACCGTTTGTGAGCTAAATAAGTTATTCAAGTGTGCACTCCAAAAAGTATGTACGCAAATCAAGCACAGATCTCACACACTCAGATACAAACCATGTGAACATACTAAACACACACTCAGATACAAACCATGTGAACATACTAAACGCACACTCAGATACAACTCATGCGAAAATACTAAACACACACTCAGATACAAACCATGTGAACATACTAAACACACACTCAGATACAACCCATGTAAACATACTAAACACACACTCAGATACAACTCAGGTGAACATACTAAACACACACTCAGACACAACCCATGTGAACATACCATGCACACGCTCAGGATATCCTCTTTCGCAATCGCCGCATCTATAGCGGGCACACGCGAGCACACCAGCCTGTACAGCAGCTCAAGGGCTGACAGCCGCAGCCGACCGAACGGAGTGATGGCGCTTTTATATAAGGGATTCGGCTGTAAGGAAAGGGGGTGTAGGTAAGTGTGTAAGTAAGTGTGTAGGTAAGAACACGCCACCGATGTGGGGAAGAACACGGTACGGTCGGCGGGGTGTGGGTGTTCGTAAACACGAGTCTTGGTTGAGTGGTTTCATATATATATATATATATATATATAGAGTACGAAAGGATCTGCGCAGGCATGTGATGACTAATGTCCATCTCCATATAGTCATCTTATCCGCATGCTCAGACCATCTCATGCAATACACTCAAAAACGAAAAATTGTTTGCAACATGTTTCCGCAACTCGGAACCTCCTGTTCTGTATACTCAAGGAACCATTCAGTTTATAGTACACCACACCTACCCATTGCATGGTTGTTGATATGTACACTCAACACAACTACTTTATAGCACACCCCACACCCCACACACACTACACCTACCCTTGGTGTGATTGTTGTTATGTACAGTCGCACTACACCTACCCTTGTCGTGATTGTTGTTATGTACACTCACACTACACCTACCCTTGTCGTGATTGTTGTTACGTACACTCACACTACACCTACCCGTGGTGTGGTCTTGAGTATCGTCTTGAGATACGGTATACATTTCTCCACCGCATCGAATATGGGCAGTAGTGTCTGCAGCTCTGAGGAGCGCTCCTGTTTCTGCTCCATGGTCAACATGATGGGCTCCCCCGTCATGCTCTTAAACGGGTCATCCACCCCACGACGCTGAATCTGATATCTGAGTGGGCCAAAAATAAGAAACACGTGCGAGTGAGTGGTGGATGATACTACCTGACTCAGGCTATGGGTGGGTAATCGGGTGTTGAGGTTGGCACGACAAGTCGTATTCAGTTGTGTATGATGCATATCAGGAACAGGATGTGCATCACAAACATCTGATTATGATCTCTAATACAATTATACTGGATATCACATACATCTGAGTATGACCTCTAATACAATTACACTGAATAGCACATACATCTGAGTATGATCTCTAATACAATTACACTGAATAGCATATACATCTTAGTATGATCTCTTATGCAACTATACTGAATATCGTATACATCTGAGTATACTTTCTACTACAATTGATACATCCGAGTATGGTTTGTGATACAATTACACTGAATAGCACATACATCTGAGTATTTTGTTGTATAACAGTCACACCGCGCTTCGCACACAACAATGCACAGCACCATTCTCTATTAAGTCCATACGGAACACACGCACACCCCTCTGTACTATGCTCAACACACTTCTCTAATAAACTTATACAGAACACACGCACACTCCACTGTACTATAATCAGCACACTTCTCTATTAAACCCATACAGAACACACGCACACCCCACAGTACTATAACCAACACACTTCTCTAATAACCCCATACGGAACACACGCACACCCCACTGTACTATGCTCAACACATTTCTCTAATAAGCCCATACGGAACACACGCAGACCCCACTGTACTATGCTCAACACACTTCTCTATCAAACCCATACACAACACACGCACACCCCTATGTACTATGCACAACACACTTCTCTATTAAACCCATAAGGAACACACGCACACCCCACTGTACTATGCTCAACGACACCCCTACAGCATGCCACACCTACATGCAGACCTACCTATGTATGACCCTCTATATGAGAGTCAAGCCACACACACACACACACATACATACGTACATACCTATGTATGATCTTTTATATGATAGTCACGTCACACACACATACACACACACACATACATATATATATATATATAAATACACACATACATACATACATACATGCGTATGTATGACCTTTTCTATGATAGTCATGTCACACACACACACGACACAC